TCTCGGTCCGCGTTTCCTGCCGAGCCTCTCTTCCGGCCCGGCCCCAGCATGGCTGCGCCCGGAGCCGAGCGCCACGGGGTTGCCGCCCCCTCGCTTTCCCGCTAGCCCTGGGACTTCCTCGCCGCACCAGCAGACATGTTCACCAAGGCCTTTCGGGTCAAGTCCAACACGGCCATCAAGGGGTCGGACAGGTGAGGGCGGGAAGGGGCCTGGCTGCGTCCGAGCCCTCGCTCGATGCGGTCGGCCAACGTGGGGGCAGCGGCGAGGGCAGGGACCCGGGTGACGGGCGCTTAGGTCACATTTAGAGAGTGGGTGTGGAGAGAGCACCCGTTTTTTTCTCCCTGGGCATATTTTAGGAACTCTAATGAGTTAAAAAGCAATTCCGCCCGTGCTAACGGACTGCAGACTGTATACGCCGTGTTGAAGACAAAAAATACGGAATTCCTCCCCAAAGAGCGCCGAGCCCCCACGGGAGCCGCCAGACGGGGCTCAGGGAGCTGCCACTGTGCGGGGGAAGCGTGCGCGGACTGCGTGCGGGGACTGCCGAGGTGCCCGGGATGAGGCGCCCGTGGACCGCTGTCCTTGCGGACACAGCCACATGCTAGGTTTCTCTCCGGCCCGTGCCCCACAGTTGCCATGTTTGGCGCCCCTCGTATTCATCACAACCTCACAGAGTTGCCAAGCTCAGGTGAGACCTGCGTGGATGGGAGGACAAAGCAGGAAGTCCTAAGGCAAGGCCGAGCTTTCGTATTTCAGGCAAACTTGAACGGCCGAGAAAGGTGATGTTGTTTGATGTTGATTTGGGGGAGATCTGGGCATCAAAACCAGGCAGCCTTGGCTCAGTCCTCATGATTTGATAATAAGTCCTTCAGAGTCAGTCACTCTGGGCAGCATTCTTAAAAGGAGTTGCTGTGCTTTCTGCAGGAGAAAACTTCGGGCCGAGGTGACCACTGCTTTCCCCTCCATTGGAGCAGAGCAGGTCTCTGAGCTAGTGCCTGGAAAGGAGGAGCTGAACGTTGTGAAGCTGTATGCTCACAAAGGGGATGCAGTGACTGTGTATGTGAGCGGTGGTAATCCCATCCTATTTGAATTGGAGAGAAATCTGTATCCAACAGGTATGACAGTAGGATAAAGATGCCTCTTACTGGTCCTTACCTGACATCTGCTTCTCTGTCTTTCTTCCATTTTCTGCCTCCCATGGGACAAACAAGCACAGTCTCCTGAAACTTACTTTGGGACTTTCATGGGTCTAGTGGGTCTAAAGTTGGGTCTTTCAAGAAGGAAACAAAAGGGAGAACACAGAAGGAGAATGGGAAGCCACCGTGGCATGTTGTGAAAGGAACACGCTGTGGCCGAGGGGTGTATAGTGATCTCAACAAGGTGACAGGTTCCCTTAAAAAGCTAGCTTCTCAGACTATGAGGAAAAATGCTTCTTAAAACGATTCCTAGCAGAAGGCACATATCCAGCCATAGGAAATGTACTTCAATCAGATCTTTCACAAAGATCTTTCTTAGTATCTCCGGTATCCCAGGGCCTTCGTTTGCTTGGTCACAGAGCCCAGGGATCTTTTTTCTGCGGCTGCTGATGCCCACGTTGCTACACCCAGCGTGGCTACAATGTAGTCTTCGTAGGCTGCCCCCACCCCACCCCATTCCCTGCTGTAGGTAAAGACAAAACCACACTCTCCTGTATTTGCTTTGAGGGTTCTCCTGCTGATCCCGATGGAAATTTAAAAAGAACAACAAATTCCCCAAAGGAACACAGATAATAAGCATGGAAAAGTTCCAGTGTTTCTTACAGGCTGGGTATCTGTTCTTTGATGACTTGCTCGGAGGTAATAAATGGGTTTGTGCCCTACTTTCATTCACTGTGGCCTCTCCACTGTAGTTAACACCTTGGGCTGCTAAACATCAGGTCCACAGTTTGAAACCACCAGCTGCTTCTTGAGAGAATGATGGGGCTTGGTATTCCTGAAAAGAGGTACAGTTTTAGATGCGCATATGGGCAGTTCTCCCTGCCCTCGAGGGTCCTTGTGAGTCGGAACGGACTTGATGGCCCTGTGTTCTGTTTGGTTTGGAGTCCAAGTGGAACCATAGGTGCCCCCAAGGCTCAGGTGACACCCAGTGACCTAGATCTCTTCTTTGCTCAAGAATGTAACCTCTGAGCGTCATCTCACAAGCTTCTGTGCAGTTTTGAGCTCTTTATCTGAGCCCTGATTAAAGTGACATAGTGTTTTGTCTTGCCAGTGCCCTAGGAGATTGAGGTTTGCATAGTAAGCGTCTTCTGGTCTCTCTTTGGGCAGTGTACACTCTGTGGTCATATCCTGATCTCCTACCAACCTTCACAACGTGGCCTCTGGTACTCGAGAAGCTGGCAGGGGGAGCAGGTAAGAGGATTTTTTTTATATTCTGTCTGTTGGGTGTCAGCTACTTGGGAATGACTGATTGGTTAAAAAGAAAGAAAGAGTTTTTCTGTGTTTATTCAAACAATGGAAGAGTGGCGTATTCTCCTGTGGTGTTACTGTCTTCCTTGGCTGGTCTTAGGAAGTCTCTGAGTCTCTCTGACCCTCATAGCAGCTTAAATGAGATCTGTGATATGAAAGGCCCTTGCGAACTACCAGATCCCAGGCTGGATTCAGCAACTCAGGACCACAGAGATCATAGCGAAGGATGTACCACCTGGCGCTTGCTCGACCACTTGTGCCCCACAGGGAGAAGTTCTGTCTGATACATGAGTTGCCAATTTTCATTCTGAGTAACACAGGTGGCACTTAGCACACGTTTGGTTGTCGAGTGACTGAAGGATAGTTGGAGTTAGAATGAGACGTTTGGCTGAGGCTGCATGTGGGTGGTGATATTTTTGTTTTGTTTGCTGCAGATTTGATGTTACCAGGAATAGTGGTGCCCCCTGCTGGTCTGCCTCAAGTACAGAAGGGTGATCTATGTGCCATTACCTTGGTGGGGAACAGGTACTGTGCCAGGGGGATGACAACTTCCCAAGCTAACCGATGAAGTATTGGAACGAAAACTAGGTTCTTGCCTCTGGAAGAAGCGGAGCGTGGGCCGTTGAGGAAATAGCAAGGAACTTGTGGGGTTCCCACATGTCTGGGAGGGGTGCATTGCTCCTTCTCCTGCTGCTTTGTTTGCTGGTTGTGAAAGGATTCTAGACAGTTCCCATATTCTGTTCACCTCGCTTACCCAGTATGGTAACATGTTACATAGCCATGGTCCAGCTCTCAAAACTAAGACATTAACTTGGGTACTTCACTACTTGGAGCCCTGGCGATTCAGTGGTTACAGCTGCTAACCGACAGGCCGGCAGTGTGAACACACCAGACACTGCATTAGCATGATGTGGCAGTCTGGTTCTCACTCTATAGCCTCACACAGCCCTGCTCTGTCCTGTAGGGTGACTATAACTTGATGGCAGTAGACAATGGAAACATTGCTGTTAACTACATTACTAACTTGATTCCTATGTGTCCCCAGTTTTTCTACTCGGGTAGTCCCCGATTTACAGCGGGCTTCTGTTCTGACAACTCCGTCATAAGTTGGTTCGATGTTAAGTCAAATACCATACCTCATTGTTGTTATTTTTTAGCTATTATTGCCATTTATTGTCAGTATCTATAAATCAGAGTTGTATTTGGTAGTTAGAAGCATTACATATAAATTTAAAGATATATTTTAATACACACACCTACTTTTTAATTTATGGACTACCCCGTTTACCTTTCACGCTTATGACAATAGGGGAAAAAATCTACACAACTGTTTTGTGTGTCCATGATGTATGTCTGGCAGTAACGAACACCAGCCAAAGTATGAAGCAAGAGGAACGCAGTCGGTGATGGATCAGGATATGTGTCAGTTTGGTTGGGCCATGATTTTAAGTGGCTTGGCAGTTATGTAGTGTTTAAATTTTGCAGGTACGTAATTATGTGATTTGGCAATACGTAGTTTCTTATGCTGATCTTCACTTAACGAGAGCTTTGCTGTCTAAAAATGTTGATAGTGAGCAGTGATTGTACATGCATACAATACATAAATCATTCAGACAAACTCGGTGATCATGAGAGTGGTTCGGTTTATGCGAGGTCATGTAATGGTCCTTTCTGTTCAATGGGCCAATCTAGGACACCATATTTGCATATTGTTGCCGTGTCTCAGTGTCCTTGATTGTGACACTTTCCCAGTCTTCCCTTATTCACCGTGACCTTGACGCTTTGCCCAGCACTGTCATCATCATCCTTTTCTTAGTGGTAGTAGCTTTACTGAGGTGTTATTCATATACCTAACAATTGACCCAGTTACAGTGGCTTTTAGTATAATCGTGAAGTCGTTTAACCATTATCACTGCTGTCGTTGCTGCTTTAAAAAATATGAGGAAGCAATCGAGTGATTCTGAAAAATCAACAGTCCCCTTACCTCATAACTCTTCCTATAAAAATATCATTCGGTGTATATCCTTCGTGACCTTCTTTGTTGTGTGCATGCATGTGCACACAGAGATGTATGATTTGGGTATTCATGTTTCAAACTAAGTAAGCGGGAATATACTGTACCTGATTGCTTTAATCACTTAATTTCCCACTGCCATCGAGTTGATTCCAACTAGCATTTCTGAGCAGAAAGCCTCATCTTTCTCCCATGAAGCAGGTGGTGGCTTTGAACCCCCAACCTTTCAGTTAGCAGTCCAACACCTAATGCACTATACCACTAGGGCTCCTTTCTGAATATTGCCTGCATGTCATATCAGCACACATATCTGCTGAAGCTTTGTACCTGATGTGTGGTTGATGGGAGACGTCTTTCGGGAACTGAGGTTGGCTCTAGTTTGTCTCTGTTGCCAACACTATTTTATTGAAGTATAAAGAGACATAGGTGCCAGTAATTTTCTCTGAAGTAGATACTTAAAAAAAGAACTGTTAGGCTGAAGATGATGTGTGTTTCCTGTTCTACGAAAAGGCTTCTGCGCTCCCACCTACCGAGTACGTAGGCTTGTGTCTTCATGCTCGCCGATGCTGGGTTGGAGGGCTCGTGCCATCGGTGGGCCCAGCTGAGAGAAACATGTCCTCTCGTTGCTGCTGTGAGAAGGAAGGAGGGGACAGACCTGGCAGAGGCCGAGGACGTTTTGGAAGCAAACACCTAGAAGTGTTTCCTTTCTTCTCCTTTTTTAAAACATACAGCCAAAATTGCAGCTGAAAAGAATGTTGGGTCATAATTTTTTCTGCCAGTGGTCTATCCAAAACTAGAGAAATGGAGAGAAATGCTCCACTTGGGCTTTTCACAGTGAGTATCAAATGGAGCCTGCAATTAGTCTGTGGCACTGTGAGATTGGCTCAAGTTACAAAACATGTTTAGTCTATTGTGACTGGAGTTCTTGAGCCTTTGTCTCTTCTCGGAGGTGGGAGAGAAGGAGCTTTCTCCTAAGAACTTGGCGCAGAAGCCCAGCTCTGTAGTGTCTGCGGCAGGAACTGACCTCTGGCTTCTAGGAGAGCTACCAGGTTGAGCGAAGCCTTTTAAGTTGAGGTGTTGGGACCTCTGCCCTTGCACCTTTCTCCTGGGACCCAGACAGGCTTGCGGCGTTTGCGGGTCCTCCATTGTTACCCAGCCGGATACCAATCCTTACAGGTAGATGTGATCGTTATTTGAGAAACACTGGACTACAGAGATGATTTATTCCATTGGGCTTTGGAAATGGTTTTTTTGGCATTGGAACGCCTAGTTCTTAGCCAGCGAGTTACACAGCATACGTGCTGTTACAAAGAGCCAAGTCAGATGCCACTGCTCTGCAGGGCGTCCCCTATCTCTCCCTCTCCCCGTGGAATCCTTGGCCGAATTTATAGTGTGAGTTGCTTCCTTTCGGTTTTGCAGTGGGGTGACTCTGCCCCTAATTTAAGGGCTTTGTTGTTGTTGGGGGCCACTGACTCGGTTTTGGAAGGCATAGTGGCCCTGTGTGGCAGTAGAATTGCCTCACAGGGTTTTCTGGCCTGTCATTTTTACAAGACCAGATCACCAGGTAATCTATCCCACAGAAGAAAAGGTAAAGTTTATTTTTTCGAAGTAAAGAACTAAAAAGCCCAAACCAGACTCACTGCCATCGAGTTAGTTCTGACTCATAGCCGCCTGATAGGACCCCTCTGGGTTTCTGTAGCTGTAAATCTTTATGGGAACAGCCAGCCTCATTTTTCTTTCGAAGAGCAGCTGGTGGGTTTGAACTGCTGACCTATTGGTTAGCGGCCAATGGACACGTACTATGCCACCAGAGCTCTTGGAATCGAAGAAAGGGAAGTTTACATATCCTTCCTAATCCTGGCGAGGCTAATTCATAGTAAGAATAAAACAAAGGCGGTGAGAACCGCAACAGATGAGCTCCATGTACAGAAAGGGAAGGTGGGCCAGAGGATTCTTGAAAGTAGTATTTGTGGGTAATCTGAGGAAAATTGAGATGAGATGCCTCAGAATTGTGGCCTCAGAGGTTTTTCCACATGTGGAACACAGGCCTTGCTCGGCTCCCTCACCCTGGTCTGCCTCCTTCTCCTCAGGGCCCCCATTGCCATCGGAGTTGCTGTCATGTCCACACCTGAGATGCTGGCTTCAGGCTTGAAGGGAAAGGGCATCACTGTGCTCCACACTTACCAGGACCACTTGTGGTGGGTACCCCGAAGGGAAGCGTTTCTGAGCTTACGGAGCGCCTGGGCTCCTGGAGCAAGCATGGGGCCTGAGACTCAGCTGTGAGAGTTTGGGGCCCAGTCTGATCCTTATGTAAGCTGCTGATGGTCAAGACTAATTTCCTCACTAAATGTGGCCATGAGGTGTTGGGCTTTCTGGCCTGTTTGGACAAGGAAATGGAGAGCTTTGGTATTTCGTAGGTGGACTTTGGGGTCTTGCTCCAGGAAGAAGAACCGTGGGGATTGTCAACCAGGCCCCCCAGTGTGGTCCAGGGCTGTTGTTACCTACCCGTATTCCAGCCATCTCTGGGCCCCTTAGGAGAGCTCTGGAATTTTCCCTTCTGAATCCCAAACCAAATCTGCAGCCCTCGGTCCTCAGCTGGTACATTCCAGATCTCTCCTCCCCATGGAGGCAACACTGGCTTACAGCTGCTTTTCAGAGCCATGGACTAGTTTGTTTTCATTTTACCAAAGAGTAGATAGCACTTTTCTTTAAAAACAAAGTATCTGTCTTTGAGGCAAGCATTTTGACCTAGTTCTTAGCCTTATTCCAGCGCTGTCTTGAACTTATACATTGCCCGCATACGGGCTGGGCTGAGTCCTCCTTTCCTGGAGGTCCGAACTCATCTCCCCGGGTATTGGCGGGTATCAGAGGGCTCTGTCGCTCCTGTTGTCCCAGCAGCTTGTTTCTAGCGTCGGTCCTGGTGCAGAAATCCAGGGCACGCTGTTGGTGGTCTGCTCGGCAGCTGCCACAGCCCATCTACAGCCGCTCCCTCCCCTCCCAGCTGGAGTGGTCTGGGGCCTCCAGAGCCACACAGCCACCAGCCACCCGCCTCTTCTCCCTGCTGTGAGGCTCACCAAGTTAGCGTGCCTAGACTGGCCTTTAATCCTGTCCCCTGCCACCCGAGCCAGTCTGCGTTCTGCTGGTCGCTGCCTCAGTCTGCCCATCTGTAAAGCGGTGGTAGCAGATGTGTCACTTTCTCACAGGCTCCCTGGGAGGATTAGAGGGCTAGAACAGAGGAGCCTGGCTCTCTCAGGTAACGCCTCCTGCAGTTTTGGTTTCATTGGTGTGTGCTTGATCACAATGACGTCAGCCTGTACTTGGCCTTGCTCCTAATAACTTACCTTCCTGTGCCTTCAGGACAAGGTTTAAGAGATGCAGACAGCCCCTCCCAAAGCGTGTGGCCCTAGATGAAGGAAGGTGCTGTCGAGAAGCCTGAGCGTCCCGTCCTGACATTGTTGTTTTGTAGCGGCTTCTGTCACTTTGGGCAGACTTGCTGACTTAGGCTCATATTTCACCAAACTAGAACTACAGATGTATTTGCAACCTTACTATTGTTGTTTAATTCCGAATGGTTTTACTATTTTTAGCACATAGGGAGTGCTTTTGGGGCTTGTGCTTGGATGCGTTTTCTTCATTCTTTTTCCTTCTCTGCATGCCCGTGACTCCTCCTCCTAAGGAGATAGGAGAGGCAAGCCTTGGTCTTCCTGTGTCAAAGATGAGGGCAGTGGGCCGAGAGTGGACCGTGGGGCTGGGAAGAGAGTGCCTACTCCCGTCGGCTCTCACTGCCGGGGCACTCCTGGCTGAGGGGAGAGTAACCAGGGTGGGAGAGTGCTGAGGCTGGTGCTTGGTGTTTCTGACATGGATTCTTCCAGGAAATTTGGAGACAAGTCTGCTCTACCTTCCATTGCTCCACTGGCCCTGGACCCCTTGGATCTCTCTGAGGAGAAGGACTCTGTCCAGGTGGACCTGGCGCTGCAGGAAGACGTGAGGCACCTGCATCTGAAGGCAGAGGAGAAAGGGAATGAGGAGGCTCCTCAGCTGTGTGGGGAGGAGTCCCAGTCGGAAGCCACAGAAAACACCACTACCGAGGGCCAGAACCAAGACACCATGGGCAGCAAGACCCTTGCAGGTATGTGTCTCTCTGGGTGCTCATTTGCTCTCGCTTTGGGGGCATTTCCAGCACCTGAACCCCCAAAGATTTCTCTCGTTGAACCCTTCTAGCATGGTGGGGCGGGACTTTCTGGTCCGGCCCCTTTTCCGGGAGCAGCCTTCTTAAAACACTCAGTTTTCAGGAGAGTGGAGCTTTGGTGCCAGAAAGGGGGCTCCTTCTGGAGCCAGGGAGGTGAGGCAGGGGTAGAACTGGACGGGGGAGTTGCCCCGTGTCCTTGGCATCCTGTGTCCCGTAGAAAGAAGGCGGTCCTGTTTCTTTGCAGAGCAAATGGATGTCCTCTTACAGCAATGTTTCTTGCTTGCTTTGAAGAGCCGGGTCAAAAAGGCTGACCTCCCGCTACTCACCAGCACCTTCCTTGGCAGCCACATGTTTTCCTGCTGGTAAGGAAGGGACCGATGTTGGGTGGAGGCCAGGCACTAGGCCTTACACATGCTCCTGGACAGGACAGGACAGGCGGATGGGGGAATCGGTTGAGAGACCTACTCTGGAAATTGTGTGCCTGATTGCGCTAGGGCAGAGGCCAGTAGGGTGAGTAGAATGGAGGTCTGAACTGGCATCTAAAGTAGGTCTTGGGGTTAAAAACCAGCCAGAAGGGATGTTGAGGAAAAGAAAGATAAAACTCCCTGGACACCCAAGGCTCTTGGAACTCTGTCCCTGCTGCTGTGGTCTGGGCTCCCTCTCCTGAATGGGACAGCGTATCCTGACAGGAAGTGTCCTGGGGGCTGCCCCTTTGTTAACACCCCCCTCCCCCCCAACTCGTGAAAAGTAGGTGGACCAGATTAGGTTGTAGCAAGAGACTACATCACAGCCCCCAACCGGAGCCCCCAGGAAAGACTGGCTTACACGTGGGCAGATGTGAATTTTGAAGATAGGCCCCTCTGGGCTGAAAAGTCAGGTCCCCGGGATTGGCTTGAGCAGGGTGAACTTGTCACCCGATTTCGCGAACCATGTCTCAGTACTCAGACTGATGCTGTAGAGATTCAGCGGTCTGCGGGAGGATGCTCGCTCAGGAAGTGCTGACACATCAGGAAGTCGCTCGCCCATTTGTGCCCTGGAACTGAGCAGCTTGCTTTTGGAGACTTTTGCTGTGTGGTTTTGAAGTGGCTTTATGGGCTCCGTTAAGGCCCCTGCACATGTGTGGTGTCATGCAGTGGGTGGTGGGATACTTGGGATCTGTCTGAGCCTGGCCGGGGTGGGAGTCACTGGTCACAGGGAGCCTTGCATCTCTAGGAAAGAAGTGCTGGGCCTGGGGTGGTTCTAGAGTGCCGCCCCCTTGCTGTTGTGTGCCATGATCTGTGGTCAGGTACCTCCGCCCCACAGGAATTGCTCAAGGGCCGGAGCCGGCAGACGGTCTTTGTGTGAAAGGCAGCTTAGTCAGTACTGGAGCTCGGCGGGCCCGTGGTCTGCTGCAGAGACTGCTCTGCCGTCGGCGCTCCCACCCACAGCGGTGCACACGTGAAGGGGCAGAGCCAGGTCTGGCCCACAGGGTGCCCTTTGCTGGTGCTGCCTGGGTCGAGCCGCCCACAGTGGGCTTGGTGCAGGACACACTCACCTTGAGGTGGGGCTTTTGAGGCCACAGAAGGTTGTCGAGTTTGAGGAGAATCTCGCACTAGAGGCAATATGGATGCCCCCAGCTCCTTGTGACTACGCAATTTAAACCACGATTTAATAAAAATGAAATAAAGTGTCAAGTTCTGTTTTCCGGCCCCAGTCACATTTCACACCTGAGCTAGTGGCTGCCAGCTCAAACGGCTCAGCACGTCCCACCGTCACCAAAAGCGCTGTTGGATAACGGCACTCACTTTGAGTCTCATGGCCTGCTCTGTCCAGCCTCCGTCCTGGACGCGGCCTCGCTCTGAAGGGGGAGGAGGCAGCTCCCCTCAGAACCCAGCGGGCCCCCCACCACAGGCTTTGCGAACTTAACTTGCCTTTTCCATCTGCACTCAGCCCTGAAGGACAACAATTGGACATCAAGAAGTCGAGCTACCGAAAGGTAAGCCGGCCTCTTCACATGGACTCTGAACTGAGAGCAGGCACCCATGGCGTGAGGTGTAGGGATGCCCTGTCTGCAGGGCGCAGGTCAGAGGGAAGCTTTTTATCCAGATGGGAGGCCGGAATAGAGACAGTTCCCTGGCGGGCAGAGACAACTCGGTGTCTATCCATGCCTCTTTTCCCTTGGGCCCTTTTCTTGCTGTCCCGTGGTCTCTAACAGCTTCTCTACCCCAGAGCTCGGGGGTGGGGATGGGGACTCCCCGTTGCCCGTGGGATGAGGGAAGAGACTGTCTGGAGTCCCTCCTCAGTGCCTGCCGAGCTTGGTCTCCGGTGCATCGGAGGTGCTGTCAGTGTGTGAGCCCACACATCCCCCACCACCAGCCCTCTCTCCTCAGCTCTCCAAGTTCCTGCAGCACATGCAGCAGGAGCAGATTGTACAGGTGAAGGAGCTGAGCAAAGGTGTGGAGAGCATTGTGGCTGTGGACTGGAAACACCCGAGGTGCGTACAGGGGCGAGCCACAACTCACACCTGGGCGGTGGACTGGGAATTGCCTAGACATGAGTGTAAAATGTGTGTTTTCTTTCCTTCTGCTGGGTTTTAGGATCACATCTCTCGTCCTAGCTGAGCTCTCCCCGACCTCCCAGCCTGTCCAGGAGGGCAGCAGGGAGCAGCCCTATCACCCTCCTGAGATAAAATCCCTCTACTGTGTCCCAGCCAACATGACCCTGCTCTTCCAGGAGTCTGGCCACAAGTGAGTTTTTGGAGAGCAGCCCTTCTCTGCCTAGTGTCCCAGCCTGTGGTTCTCCCACTGAGCGGTGCTCACTCGTGACTGGCGAGCCCGTTCTGCCTCCTCTTCCTATTTCCCAACTCCAGCTCCAAGTCCCTTTCCCCTGGGAATCTTCTCTGACTACGTGGAGTGAGAGAGTAGCTTTCTTCTCTTGTACCCGTAGTAATTCTTCCCACAGTCCTGCTCCCCTCTGTCAGGATAGGGGAACACAGCAAAGCTGAGTGAGTGTCTGCAGCGTGTCTCGCCCCCAGCACAGCGTGCACTCACGCCCAGCCCTTTCCTCACTAGGAAGGGGAGCTTCCTCGAGGGCAGTGAGGTCCGAAAAGTCATCATTAACTATGCTAAGAAAAATGACCTGGTGGATGCTGACAACAAAAAGTGAGTGGACAAAGCACAGACCATGACCTGGCTTTTTGGGTGAGACCCTAGACGGTGTGCATGGAGGATCTCTGGGAGAGGAGGGTGGGGAGGATGGAACCACAGGGTTTTAGAAACAGCCAAGGTGAGTGGGTCCAGAGAGCCCTGGTGGCGAAGTGGGTTGTGCGTTGGGCTGCCTGCTAACTAATTGCAGGGTCAGCAGTTAAAACCCACCGTTCATTCTGCAGGAAAAAGATGAGGCTGTACAGGGTTGGCTCCCCACAGGAGCACTCTGAGCTGGAACCGAATCCTGGGCTATGCATTCCTAGACTTACTGCTTAGGGCGTTCCGATGCATACGTGCTGTAAACGTTGACTGGGGACTGTGCTCCACACAGTTCACAGGAAAGTTCCATTGGCTTTTAATTCTGATTTTCCACGAATTACGTGAAGCCCTCCTGTGTGTCCACTACCGGTTTGCAGATGTCATTGTCAGGAGAAGAACGCAGACTGATTTCAGCAAGGTTTACAGATACAATTGTAGCTTGTTAGTGTTCTTTCTTAATACGTTAGAAATTCAACCACCAAATGGAAGACAGGTTTCATTTATTTTTTACTTTAAAAAGACATCCTTAGGATCGAAGAGGTGGAAAACTTCTAGCCTAATCTAATGTTCTCATTTCATCGATTCCTCCCTTCACTGTAGAGCCCCCCTGCGTTCCAGCCTTGTGTAAAGCTAAGTCCTGGAGGCTAACCGCCTGCGGTTGCATGGCCAGTGAGGGGCAGGCAGAACTGCACCAAGACCACACTGCTGACTGCCATGCACAGGCCACTGCTGAGGGGCGGGTCCTCCATACGGCCTGTGATCCTGCCTGGCTATGAAAGGACAGGAGATGCGCTGACCCCGGGCTGGCCTTTGGGGCATGAGAAAACCCAGCCAAGCCCAGGGCTGTCGAATGGAGTCCGACCCCTCGCTTGGGACCCCCCTCTGAGATCAGGGTGGAAGTACTCCTGGGTGTCCATGGCTGTGACTTCGACAGCAGGTGGCCACGTCTCTTGTCCACTGAGCAACTGGAGGGTTTGGACTGCTGGCCTTTCACCTAGCCCAGTGCTTAGCTCATGGCACCACCAGGGCTCCTTGGGTCTGAAGGGGTGGCTCTGAAATTTTCTTCCCCCATCTGCTTTCCCTGTTAGCCTTGTGAAGTTGGATCCCATCCTAAGTGACTGCCTCTTGGAGAAAAGTGAGCAGCACACGGTCCTGGCGCTTCCCTGGGATAGCCTCCTGACCAGGTAGCGGGGTTCCCTCTCTGTAACGTCTGTTGACTGCATTGAACTTGAAATTGCTAAGATCTTAGGTTCAGGCTTTATTTACATAAGCCATGTCCTGTGTAAACTAGCGTGGGCTAATTCCCATGTGGAGACTTGTGGGTTGGGACAACTTGGGTCAACACAGTATGGCAAAATTTATAAAAAATAAGAATTTCCAAAAGATTTAAAAGTAAAAAGAAGAGTGTCAGGGACCAGGTGCAGGGGAGAGGATTGTCTTCAAGTTTTCCAAGAATGGAGTATCTTTTAAATCTCCTTTTCCACAGAACCGTAGTTGAACATGATTGCACTCAGGAGTGGTGGACACACTGCAGCCTGTGGACCAAACAAATTGTACCCATTCCTATCTGCGTGGTCTGGGGCTGCCTTGGCATTATAATGGCAGCGTTGAATCGTTCCAGCGGAGACTACCTTTGCACAGAGCTTAAAATGCTTCCTATGGCCCTGCAGAGAGAAAGTGTGCTGGCCCTAATGTCTGCCAGCAAGAGAGGCTTTGGTTTGATGAAAGTAGAAACGGCCTGTGGTAAAGGTGGTTCATAATGGAAATGGGCCATCCTTGAAGTACGTGAAGTACACCCTGTGAAGTATGTGAAGTACACCCTATGAAGTACATCCTGTGAAGTACACAGAGTACACCCTATGAAGTACATACACCCCGTGAAAGTACATCCTGTGAAGTATATGAAGTAGATCCTGTGAAGTACGTGAAGCACATACATCCTGTGAAGTACATGCAGCACATCCTGTGAAGTACACGAAGCACATGCTGTGAAGCACACGAAGCACATACATCCTCTGAAGTACATCCTGTGAAGTTCACGAAGTACACTCTGAAGTACATACACCCCGTGAAAGTACATCCTATGAAGTATATGAAGTAGATCCTATGAAGCACATACATCCTGTGAAGTACATGAAATACATAAATCCTGTGAAGCAGTACTTGGAGGCAGTAGCCGCGAGGGGAAGTTTTGAGGGGCAGGACTACCTTCCCTGGGCAGATTGTCAGAAGATGGGCCCGCGGGCGGTTTCCCAGGCTCACGTCATTCAGGCCACTTCCCTGCATGGAGGGTGGCGGAGTGGCCGCCACCTTGGTTGCAGTATGGAATCATCTGGAGCGCTGTAAACATATCTCTGCCTGCACCCTCGCTCCAGAAACCCTGCCTTGGTCGGCCTAGAGTGAAGCTCCCCAGGTGACTGGATGACTGAGGTGCAGCTGGACCACTGACTAGCGTCACCCTAAGCGGAGAACACGATTGATGTTGGCAGCGATTTCATCCTGCTTGGATCAGCAGTCAGTGGCCAGGGAAGCAGCAGTCAGGAAATCAAATGACATACTACACTAGGCAAATCTGCAGCCAAGTACCCCCCAAAGTTTTGAAGTGTTAAAAAGCAAAGATGTCACTTCGATGACCAAGGTGCACTGACCCAAGAATGGTCTTTTCAAGGCCCTCCCCTGCGTGGTAAGGCCGGGCAGCGGCCCACTAAGACAGAGTAGAATGGGTACATTTGAATTGTGGTCTTGGCGGAGGGCAGAGACTCCAGGACTACTAGAATAAATCAGTCAGTCTTAGAAGAAATACAACCAAAACGCGCCTTAGAAGCAAGGGTGGCCAGACTTCAGCTCGCTTCTTTAACACATCATGAGAAAGACTGGGTGCTGAAAAGGGTGTTGTGGCTGCTGCGTGCAGCAGAGGGTGACGAAAGTGGAGGGGCCCCTCAATGAGAGGGATTGACCTTGGCCAAACAGTGGTCCCAGGTGCAGCACAGTGGCGAGGGGCTGCAGGCTGGGCAGCATTCTGTTCGGTCATGCATAAGGTTAGCATGTCAGAGCCCACTGGGTTTGCACCCAGCTGCCTGGCGGGCTTGAGCTTTGGGCTGCATCCGACTTCACCTCATTCACTCACTCGTTTCAGGTGTTTGGACAAATTGCAGTCTGCCTATCGAGTGACCTTTCCCGGGCAAGAGCCCATTGTGAAGAAAGGGAAAATCTGCCCAGTTGACATTACGCTCGCACAGAGAGCTGCTAATAAAAAGGTAATGTTCAAAGACCGGGTCTCAGGGTGGTGATGGAATGCTCCTGCTACGTGGTCTCTCGATGAGATGGGAGGTTTTAGAGGGGCCGCAGATACCGCCGAGGTTGCTGGTGAAACACCTGGTTGTGTGGCTGGCCAGACCCACACAACAGCTGTGCAGAACAAGCTGAAGCTGCCCCATCGCTGCCCCTGAGGGCACTGCTTAGAACCTGGCTCCCAAAGGAAATAAGCTTTATTGTGTTTTTCCCTCAGAACTATGTTACAAACTTCCATCTCTTACGGATTCCACTTGGAATTGGATCACTTATTTGTTAAGTACACATAACTCGCAAAGACTTGTTGAAGGAACGGAGGGTGGTTAGCCTGGCAACACGGAATCCTGGCAACAAATTACATCTGCCCTGAAATGTCAACAACTGTCCCCTGGAAAAAGGATTACATTGAACTCTGCCTGCCTTAGAAGACAGAACTGGAATTAGTGGTCGGAGGACCCAGACAGACTTTGGTTCAAAGAAAAGAAGTTTTAGTAGTGTACTGTTAGAAGCATGGGCTGTGAATTAGACACTTAGCTCGAGCTTGACCTTGAGTAAAGATTTTATTGTGTTTCAGGTGAAAATTTACACAGCAAATTGTTTCCCACTCAATAATCCATAACAAATTGTTTCATGACATTGGCCGCAATTGTGAACACCCTCCCCATGTCCTCTCTCATCTCTTCCCTTCCCTCCAGTTTCCTTGCCTTCTCGTCTCTGCTTTTGGGCAAACGTTGCCCGTTGGTCTCATAGCAGTGCTTGTTCTACAGAGCACACCCCTTGCCAGGGTGACTGTGGCTCGCATAGGCCCGTCTGTTGTTTGGCTCTAGGAGTGGCTTCCGTTCGAGGGTGAAACAGTGTCCGTCTTGGGGGTCCTGTAATCCCTTTTAATCCCAGAAGGCTGGTCTTTTCTTCGTCTTTTATGAGTTTGAGTTTTACTGTGCATTCTCCCATTCTATCCGGGACCTTCTTCGTGGACGCTGTGCACCATCTGGTTGAGCTGGCCTCTGGCTCGGGAGCACTGGGGGGCCTCCGTCCTGGAACGTGAGGACTGCTGGAGCCTTGGTTTCCTTCCTAACCCTGTAAGACCCGGCACTGCTCCCCAGACTAGGGTGTGGGGCGCGATCTTTATGGACGACGCTGTGTCACTTGACCTGGGTGGAGGTTCCTGTGCCTGCACACCTGCTACTCCACCCTGTGAGCGCTGTGGCCGTGTGCCGGGCGTTCGTTTCCTTAGTGGTGCCCCTCCTGTGCACATGGACACGTGTATGTGAAGAGGCTTCAGAATGATCGTGTGTCCACGGTCTTTTCATTCAGCTTTTCCAGAATGTTAAGACCTCTTTAATGGTGGCTGATTTCAACACTTGTTATTGTTTGATAACAATTCGAATTGCCCAAAATTGAAATTGTTGCTTCACAAAATAGTTATTTCCTGGAGGTCTTCAAGCAAAGACTAAGTGGCCACTGGTTGGAGGAGGTGGGTTGATAGGGTGTAGTCCAGTTCAGGTGAGAGGCTGGCATAGGATGTGACTTCTCATTTCCTGGTGGTCCTAAGACTCGGTACGGAGTCCCTTGACATACCTCACGTAGTTTGGAATGTTTAAAGATCTTATTGACAGCAACCCTCCCACACACGCAGCCCCATCTGACTGCCATTGAGCCCCTTCTGCCGCTGTGGGTTTTCCGAGGCTGTGAGTCTATGGGAGTAGAAACCACCTTTCTCCTGCGGAGCAAGCACCTGGTGGTTTTGGACGCTGACTGTGGGCAGCAGCCCAGCGTGCTATTAGCCTCCCCCCACCCTGCCTCTGTGTGTGAGGGAAGGGGGACCTGGTCAGAGGAACAAGGGAAGAATTGTGGTTTTTAGCAGCATGAATGTTTCCCTTTTTTTTTAGACCTGGAAGTCACATCCTTTGCACTTGCGAGGTTTGTGAGTACTTGAAAAATGCACATTGCTGATTGGACCTTTGATTATAAGAAATTGTTAGTTTAGTTTTAGGGATGATGATGGTTTTATTTTTATATTACAAGGGCCCGATCGTGTAGAGAGCATACTGAAGTAGTGACAGATGATGTGGCTCTGCACTAAGGTAATTTGAGAGCAGGGCGTGAATGAGATAGGGGAATCCAGGTTCACCACATGATGTTCGTTGAGACTAGATGGTAGGTACGTAGAGGGATTATACTACGCTGTGTTTTTGTCATACATTCTCTGTGATAGAAAAACAAAGGTGTATATATAGTAATGGTTGGGATAATACTGTTTAACATGTGTATTAGAGTCGATATAATATGTATGCTATTGGGTGGGATAGATGGTGTCCAGGTAGAAGCGGCAGGGAACTCCCTCAGATGAAAGTTGCCATAGTGATAGGCAGGGTGACTCCCGAGAGCAGAGCCGAGGTGGCTGCCCAGGGGAGGGAGGTCCTTGTGCTCTGTCCCCACCATCTGTTTTCTGCCCTCTCAGGTGACCGTGGTCCGCAACTTGGAGGCCTACGGGCTTGACCCATACTCGGTGGCAGCCATCCTCCAGCAGCGATGCCAGGCGAGTACCACCGTCTCCCCCGCCCCTGGAGCCAAGGACAGCCTGCAGGTCCAGATCCAGGGAAACCAGGTCTCCCACCTGGGCCGGCTGCTGATCGGTGAGTGTCCCTCGGAGGAGAGGAGACTGCTCTCATCTGTCTGGCAAAACTCTCCCTGCCAGCCCACCTCCGCCCACTTCTGCTAACACCCCTGCATGAACTGCATACGGAGGGGCTTTAAAAACGTCATGGGCAAGCGGAATTTCAAGAGTGATAGAATTTTCCCATGAACTTTTTGAAGCCTGCTCGTATTATTTCTACCAAGTTCTGTTCCGTTCCAAAAGCTACAAGCCTGCGGGCCAGTAGGAGGGCTATTCCCCTCACCTCACAGACAGGGGTGAGAGAGAGGGTAAGGGCCGCCAGGTAGCAAGAGTAGAGCCAGGCCCTCTGACCCTGGTCCCGAGCACCCTCCACCAGACTGCCTGTGGACGCTTGGTGAGCGCCTTTGCTGGCCAGGCTTTCTCTCCGCCTACTCTCTCTCTTGTCAGAATGACACGGTGGAAGGATTAGCTCTGTTTTACAGATGGGGAAACTGAGGCTCAGGGAGGTGCAGTGCCTTGCCCTGGCAACATCTGGGTGCTGTCGCTGGGCTCTGAACCTTGCTGTCTGACTCCCAAGCTTGAGTTTTTTCGCCCTCATTGTCAACTCAAACCCTCCCCCAGCTCAGCTTTCCCACCGCCCTTGTCTGCACTGCCTTCAGCATCAACGCCTGCGCTCAGTGAACAGGCTCTCGACTCCACCTGGGCACACGCACTGTGCCCCTCCCACCTAGTGTGTCTTCCTACGTGGGCCGTGTCTGCCTGACACACCTAGAGCTGTGCTGACCCAACTCGGTCACGTGAAGCCAGCCTGGAGCAAGTCCTGCTTTTCCTGTGACCCCTAGACTAGCCCACCAAACACAGCCTGGTAGGTCTGCCGCAGAGCTCACCGTCACTGACATCTGAGCCGTTAGTCGAGCTCCTAGAAGGCTGCGTCCACCCTTGTCTCTTCCTCGGGGCCCGCCTGCCGCCAAGTGAACGCCCAAGGCAGCACCCACCAGTTCCTGTCTTGTCTGTTTGAGAGGAACCCCAGTGAGGGGCGGAGAAGAGGTGCTGGGGAATAGACACACACAGGCACGCCTGTGTGCTTTCTGAGAAAACATACATGCTTGGACTGAGATACACCAGAAAGGAGCTGTCCCGGTGGGAATTGCAGAAATGCACACCTAGGCCTTGAGTTAGAGAGAGTCCTCCTTCTGAGAGGCTTCCCAGAGAAGCTGCGCTTGGAGCTGGGCTTAGACTGCAGGCAGGAGCACACTGCAGCCAGGCCAGGCCTGGCCGGGCCAGGAGGTGACGTAAGTGTAGAATTTGGGCCCACGGGGCAGCTTGTGGGGCCAAGGGGGAGGGCTGACGGGACCCGGGCTGCCCTGTGAGGGATTTCTGCTTTGGGATTACAGACGAATATCAGCTCCCTCGGAAACACGTCCAAGGCCTGGAAAAGGCCCCCAAACCTGGCAAGAAGAAGTGACGGCCAGACTCTGTTCATGCGGTTGGTCCAGTGGAAATCAAGCTGGGGCTGGTAATTTATATGCGCATTTTCAGCTTTTGCAAATAAAAAATATAATTCTTTAACCAAAACGAGTTTTTATTCCAACCTAAGTCTTGGTTTCCCTTGTGTTTCCGCCACGGAGCTGAAATGTCGCAGTATGCCTTCTCACAGTCAGTCAACAGCATGCCTTTTCCATTCATGTGGTTTCTGTGACTTAGTTCCTCCCCGCCCTCGGCAGGACAGCCCACTTCAAGTTCAGGCAGATGGAGCCTCCCTGTTTATAAAGCCCACAGCCTCCTGTTAATTTCTCCCTACTAATCAACCTCCCAAACCAAAAATAGCTCCGCCCTGGCTCTAACGAGTTACTCGTGTAGGAAACAACCCAGCTGCTCCGTGTCATCAGTCCAGGCGGCAGAAGAAAGAGTCGGCCCTGGGCCACAGCAGCACTGGGCTAGCTAGAAATGAGGAACAATAGAAGCCCACTGGGAAAGGGGCTTTGGTACGACAGGATTCTCCCCCCACCCCGCCCTGGCAGTCGGCCTCCAGCAAGGGCGAGCTCCAAGATGACGGCTTTGTGACATGCCTTGTGAGCAAGCCCCACTCGTCAACCCTGGGCTCCCTGCATCTTGTGCGGGATTCTGTGTCGTCATTTTCCCGAGGGCAAGGGTCATGCTCTGTCAAATTCCTAGAGGGCTGACCTGATGGCAGAAAGGTTCAGACCCGCTGCTCTGTTCATGGGTCCCTTGCGGAGCCAGCACTCCCCTTGGGTGACAGCCCAGAGTCAACCAAGCGGGATTCCCAGTGAGTTTTGGTTTTTCCCCACGAAGAAGCACATTTTCTTCAACATCTTTCCTCTCCTCACACCTTTTAGTTAAATCCAGATAGGAAACGTTTACCAAGGAGAATGTCCACAATTGTGGCTGTGGGTCAAGTTCGCCCAGCTGCCCGTCTGGGGTCGAGGGAGGAAAGCAAGGGTGTGGGAGTGTGTCCAGAGCACCCCCGCCTTCCCTTAGTCGGCTC